AAGGAAGAAAGAGAAACAGAAGCTTGAACCTCACCTTGGTGTCTGTGTCGTCTTTCCGGGACTCTGCTGGACAGAGTCCCGGCTTACGACAGGAACTGACTCATCTAGGGTGTGACAAAGCTTTGGAAAGGCTGTGGAGTACTCATAGGAAAGTGACAACGGTGCTGTTTACTCAGTCTTCAGCACCGATGATGCCTCCAAATTTTCCCATTTGTTTGCCTGGTTTGCTAAAGAAAGATAAGGAACAGGGCTGGGACGTTTGTAAAGGGCAGGCTCCTAACGCAGGTGGTAGCCCATCACTATGGTAACCAAGGTCATTACCAGCACACACAGCTGTGGGTGGGGATGGAACACAGCCATCCTGTACATGGCCCTGCTCAGGTGGGCAAGAATTGAGAGACAAAGAATATGGAGCTCGGCTGAATTCGGGTTAGGGGAACGTCAGAGGACCGGGCTCCCAGCCAAGGGCAGCTGGGGGTAATTTGGAGGGCTGAGATGTTGCCTTGTGCACAGGATCTGTATTTAACTTCTGAAAAGGATGGAACGCAATGTAGCTGTCCACATCCTGTCTGTGAATCAGAAGCTTACATGATGGTTTTAAAGGGGGAAAACGCCTCTAATACCACATTGTTCTTACAACATTAAAGGTTTAAGGTAATCCCCTCACAGCAGAAATGGGAACAAAGTTTCCACAAAGTACAAGATCACTCCTTAATGCCAGGCTCTACCTGTGATTACCCACCGGCTTCTTTTCTGACAGTAAAACCTGTCTTTTGAAATAAAAGTAGCTGTAAAGACTTTCTAGGCAGCATAAATTTTCTAAGACATTTGTAAAGTTGATGCAATACCCAACGTAGGTGGACTTTATGTTGCATACTTTTATGTGAATTGGTATTTTTTTAAAAAACCAAACAAAATATTAATCTTGAGTGAAATTTCCCTATTAGACTCGATTTTGTTATACTAACTCATTTTCAGCAACAAAATCCCTATTATGAAGGGCATGGTGTGCATGGATGTAATCATAGCACTTGGGAGGTAGAAGCAGGAGGATCCAGAGTTCAAGGTCATCCTCAGCTACATAGGATATTGAAGACCAGCCTGGGTTACATAAGACCCTGTCTCAAAAAAAAAACCCAAAACAACAAAAACCCTGTTCAAACATAAAGCAGATTAAACAAATCTCCTTCTGTTCTTGCTCTACAAATGAACAAAATAGAAAGACAACTTGTATAGAGCTTTTTAGAGACTGAAAGTACCTACCACCACGCTGATCAAATGAGTTTATGATTTAAAATGGAAAATGAACAGTTGTCTTGGAGTAATCAATGACACCTTACCTTCCGGACACTGGCAGGTGAATCCACTGAGGCTAGACACGCATGTTGCTCCATTTCTGCATGGGTCTAGGATACAGTAATCGATCTTGGACTGGCAAAGCTCTCCAGTGTAACCTGCAGAAAACAAGATGCCCATTTGTGGTGGCCTGAATAAGAAGTGTCACCCATAGGCTCAAGTATCTGGACACATGGTCAGTCGGTGGTGTTGTGTGGGGAAGTTCATGAACCATTACTAGGTGTGGTCATGCTGGAGAGAGCGCATCATGGAGACTGGCTTTGAGAGGCTGTAGCCTTGTCTCACTTCCAGGTTCACTCTACCCGCTTCCTGTGCCTGCCTGAAGATGTAAGCCTTCAGTTTTCTGTCCAGCTGACTCCTGTCATGCCTCGCCTGCTATGAGGGATTCTCACCCTTCTGGAACCATAAGCCCAAATAAACTCTTCTTTTTTAAGTTGCCTAGGTCATGGTGTTTTATCACAGCCACATAAAGCAACACCATTTATAAGATGGATTATTATAAAACCATCATGAGGTGCCACCAATTAAGGGACTCAATGGAAAACTACTCGTGGAAGCAAAGCAGCCGCCTTAGGTGAGAGTTAGAAACTCCTCAGTCACATATAATCTTATAACCAGAAACAATGATAGCATCTTAGAATCGTGGTTCAAAATTCATTCATTTTTCAAATTATTTTCTTCAGTATTAGGTCTGAGTTTTATTTCATCAAAAATTTCAGAAGCTGAGACAATTCCATTGTCCCTCTTGACAGCGTTTTTTTGACATAAAAGATTACACTGGTGTCCTGGGACAGCGATGGGACCCACCTTCCCTAGGTCAGCACAATACCTCTCCAACAAGCAGTATTAATTTTTTTTAGTTGATAATACTTTAGAACTAGAACAATTCATCTGTGTTCATTCTGCCCTCCATCCCTTCATTTTAAATATTAAGAGATTGAGGCACACACAGTGGTAATCACATTAATATATGATTCTTAATACTTATCTGAGTCATAAATCCAACTCTACCCTCTCCAGGAAGTCAGCCCCCTGCAGTGGTCTGGTGGGATGGTAACATAATCACACACAAGTGGTGAGAAAATCAGGCTGCAAATCTCTGAGACTACCTGGGGAGCCAAAGGCTTTAAATAAATCCCAGATTTTGAAAATGAAGCCCGCACCAAATTTCTCAACCAAGAGTGGGTGATGGCTATGAAAAATTTAGAAACTACAAGATATACAATAAAAATTTTAAAAGTACCCTTAGCTATGATGTTTGGGTGACAGGATCAACAGTGACTGTCTGGAGATAATTCTTACCATAAGCTCTTATGCAGACATATTTTCTACACAATTATAATTATACAGCAGCATTTTACGTCTCCAGGATGTTTTTGAATACATAGAAACCCACCTTTCTAAATTATTAGTTTTGAATTATTACTATTTGTTGTAGTGCTCGCATCTGAGATTTGCAAAGATTAGTCAACAAGAGGAATGAGAGATGATTTGCCTGAGCATCAATCAGCTACAAACTAGTGTCAATCACAGATTGTGGACATGGGCGCTCGCAGCCAACCCTACACTTCCTCATATGTTTCAAAGCTATCTAAGAGACTTCCAAACTATTTACAGGTATGGAGCGATGGTAAGACAAGTCTGTGGACTAAATTTCTAACACCCAAGGCTACTTTAAAACCCAAACAAACTCTTTCATTAAGATATGCTAAGAATACGTTTCCAAATGAAAGCACTAAATTCAAAGTGTTAGAGAGTGAACCATTTATAAGAGGAATTGCTATAAATAACTATTAGCTAAAAACAATGGCAAATCTTCACAGTAGAGCATTTTTTAAATAATATTTTTATTAGTTGCGTGAGGAATTTCACGGATATTGAGAATATCTTTTGACCATATTCGATTCCCTCCATCATCTCCTCTCAAGTCCACTCCCATCTCCCTTATTATTTTTCTGACCATTAATTCACCCTCACCACAACCCTGAGCTCAATACTATTGTAGTCCCGCACACTCCACTCTCCAATTCCTTCTCTTACCCTTTACAAATGAGGAAACTGAGAATTAGAAAGATTAAATAATTTTCTCAATCACCAGAGATTCAAACTCCTGGAGCCCAAGCCCTTAAACACTACTATGCCTAAGGCACAGTGCATCACTACCATCGGCAGACATTTATTATGAAGGAAAAAAATAAAAACAAACAGAAAATAGGCATGGAAGCTCATGCTGGTAATCGAAGTCTTGGACTACATGGTGACAGTCTTGCTTTTAAAAGAAGAGAGGGGAGAGAACAGGGGAATGCAGAAGAAATTTTAACAGTCCCTTTCTTTGAACTATTTGAATTTTTAAACATACTTAAACATGGAGAGCTAAGATATAACCCTCACATATGTGTCCTAGCTTCAACAATTATTGACATTTTATTCTAAAATATTTTATTAGCATTACTTTCTTTAAGATGTGTAATATTTCTTGATCTCCTCAGTTTCCTCCAAGAGAGCATCTTAAAATAAATTCATTTCTCCTGTAAATATTCAATATGTGTCCCCAACAAAAGATTTTCTTAAAGATTGATTTTAATGTCCTTTCTAATTAATGTTTGATTTCATTTATGAACTTAATTAAACATTTATAATGCTTATTAGCATATGTTAATTATACATAATGGGTTTCATTATAACATTTTTGTATCTGCACATATTCTGATCATATTCATCCCATTACCCCCTCTGGTCTCCCTCCTGCTCCCTTTGATCCCATTTTAGATCATATTTATTATCAAAATCTTACCTTTTTGATAAACACAGAAACCCACACCTGACCGATGTGTGGAGAACAAGAGACAGCAGAGCACTTACGACACTCTGTCAAACCTCTGCCTCCCAAGGCTTGGGGATCTGAGAAGGGGAGGAACGATTGTAAGAGCCAGAGGGGTGGGTGACCACAAAGAAACTGGTTTCCAGACAGATGGGAAGTTACACATATGAACTCACAGCAGTGGTGACAGCATGTACAAGCCCCATGCAAGCTTAAAGCAGATAAAATCCCAGCATACACCTGGGGAAGTGGTTAAGAAACCCCAACCCAACCTAAGGAACTATTCACAACAGAAGGCTGCTGGGAGGAGCCTTTCAAGGGTGTGACTCGTACTGGATTAACCAGGCTCCAGGGATGAACTCACACTGAAGGACATTTGGGGACATAAATTAGACTCTATAGGCATTAGAAATATATATATTTCTAATATATATATGAGTGTACATTAAATTGGGGGGTGGGGCAGTAAGGGGAGGTGTGGATGGGGGTAGGGCCCAAATACCATCCAATTATATTGTATGAAAATCGCAAAAACTCAGTAACTTTTTATTTTTAACTTTAAGAACTATATTTGCATGATAGTATGCAAATGTTCCCATGTTCTTAATTGGTTTTATAGGTCTAATAATCTACAATTAAAAGTAGGATGAATCTGAGGTACTGTTCAATGCCCCCTCAATGTATGTAAATTTTTAAAATTAATTTCTAACTTATTTAATATTAACTAGAAGCCAAACAGCACTCTCTCTATATGTGTGTACGTAATTATGTATTTATGTCTCTATATAATATAAAGGTTGTATATACACACACACATATATACACACACACATATATATACACACACATATATACACATATATATATATATACACACACACACATATATATACCTATAGAGTCAGGTTTGTATCCCCAAATGCCCTCCAGTGTGGGTTCATCCACTGGAGCCTGGTTAACCTACTAAGAATCTCATCTTTAAATGAGATTGACTATCCCCTTCATAGTAGCCATTGGTTACCAATAGTTCCTCCAGTAGGGCTGGGGGTTCTTACCCACTTCCCACATCTATACTGGGATTTTGTCTGGCTTAAGCTTACATGGGACTTGTCCATGCTGTCATCATTGATGTGAGTTGACCACCTTCCTGGAAAACTATTTCCTTATGGTCAGCCACCTCCACTGGCTCGTACAATCTTTCTCCCTCCTCTTCCGCAATGATCCCTGAGTCTTGAGGGGCAGGAGTTTGATGTGGGTGTCCTACTTAGGGATAAGCACTCTGCAACCTCTTGTCCTCTGCACATTGGCCAGTTGTGGTTCTCTGTGTTAATCACTACCTGCTATATAAGGAAGCTTCTCTTCTCTGAGTTTAGTGATGCATTGATCAATGCAGATCTAAGAAAGTCTGTATGTTGACTTTTAAGTAATCAATCTAAGAGCTCAATCCATATTTTTAATGTGTTGGGTACTTGGGGTTGCCATAGTAATTTTTTTATCCCACTGGCACTGAGTAAAGATGCTAAAGTCCTACACCACTTTAGATTGTCTAATGTAAGAGCTACACTGAAAAAGATGATGTATAACTGTAGAGATTTGCAATGTATTAGTCTATGGACATGTCTATGGGTCCAGTGTAACTGCAGGTGAATAGCAATAGCAATAATGGAGGCCTGTGGAAGAGAAAGGGAGGAGGCAGAGGGGCAGGCTGGGATTACGAAGCCACAAGATTACAGAGCATTCTTAGCAATACTAGCAATATCAAAAATACTAGCATCCTGAGCCAGGCGTGGTGGCGCACACCTGTAGTCCCAGCACTTGGGAGGCATAAGCAGGCGGATCTCTGTGAGTTCAAGGCCAGCCTGGTCTACATAGTGAGTTCCAGGACAGCTGGGGCTACAGGGAGACCCTGCTTCAAAAAGAAAAAAAAAAAATGCTAGCAACAACTATTAGCCCCTAGCAATTTCAGGCATCCTAGCAACAACTACTAGCATCTTAGCAACAACAATTATCATCCTAGGAACAACTACTAACACCCTGGCAATTGTAGCCATCCTAGTAACAACTACTAGCATCCTAGCAACTGCAGGCATCCTACCAACTACTGGCAACTTCACAGCTTACTAGCATCCTAGCAACTGCAGACAATATCCAGCTGTGGTTTGGCAGAGCAATATTTTATACTTGCCCACACCAGGTTGGTCAAGAGGAGCCAAGTATTGTTAGCCCCATGTGAATCCCTAGGTAGGAACTGGCTATTTCATTCCCTCTAGCTAAGGC